GCGACTGCAGACTAGCTGTGGTTAGGCTGCAATGGGCAGCTGCGGTGGTCCCTGCCTTGTTCCTGAGCATCACGGAGAGACGACCGACCCCTCCGGGCTGGCACCTCCGGAAAATGAGCTCTTCGCTTCTCCGGGCGCGTTGCCGAAGCAGGAGGGCAGTGCTTCAGCCCCAGACGGCTCCGGGAGCTCCTCGCTATAAAGCCTGTGTCCCTGATCTAGTTCTGGGCCTGCGAGCTCCCGGCTGTTAATCTGTTCACGTTCTCGAGGGTCGTTATGACGAGGTAAGAAGACCTGCAGTCCCGAGCTCCATCGCCTGCTTGGGCTGGGCGATGTTACCTGCTGTCTGGAACTCGCTCCAGGATAAACCTCTGGAAATACCAACGCCTCCAGGTGCCTCACGGAGGGCTGGGTCTGTGCCTGGTCAGGGAGGACGTTCAGGGCGTCAGGACCCCGTAGGTCACGGCACAGAGCATTGCTGGCAGAAAATGAGGTGACTTATTTTGCGGCGCTGGCCGCCAGCGTGTCCCTGAGATCCTGGCTCTTTCCCGGCACTCGCGAGTGCCGCTGCCGATCCCCTGATGCATCTGACTGCCTGGAGCGTGTTTCTAATCCCCTGTCCCGTGGGGAGCGGGGCTGCTGGCCCGTTCCTCGCCCTGCGGCTTGCCTGGGCAGCCTGGGGTCGCTGCGTGGGTTTCCCTGCGGAACGGTGGGTGTGACAAGGGTGATGCTGTGTCCCGGTCCCCAGCGGCTTGAATCCAAGCTGCAGCCCATCACTGTGCACGTGTAATTAGATCCGCAGGCATTATACCTTGAATTGTTCTGTTCGTTAGCATCTGTCGCGTGCTACTTTTTGCTAATAACATTATCTTTATGCTATGCGTTCACTGCTAATTGCTAACGGCAAGATTTGTTTAACTAAACATGTTTTTAAGGATATGTGTTTTGTATACTTCAACACTCTGTTTAGAGACGTGTTGGTCTGCTCGCTCTCCTCCACACAGATCTTGGGCAGGTTCTGTTGGTCCTCTGGATGGCAGGGATCCAGCTGCTTTATCCAACACGGTTTTGAGTAACTTATTACCGTGTTTGCACTGATAAACTAATTAGAGGTTGTATTTTGGGGGCTTATAGCATGGCTTCGCCTGAGGAAGATTGTCCCTGTTTGCTCCAACACAGGCCTGTTGTTGTGCTTATTATTCTGCCAGTAGAAAAGTCTTTGTAGGATAAATACCATCATGTTTGTTGTGGAATGTGCTGTGAAGTCGTGCATACAGCCTCGGGAGGCGGTGGAGGTTCCAGAAGTGTATTTTCACGGCCTTTTTCCAGGTGAGCGATCCCGTTTGAGCAGGGGCAGGCTGGCTGATGTAACGCACTGCTCGCCGCAGAAAACACCGTGTGATTTTTCACTTTAAAAACTCTGCTGCGGCCATTATATCAGTCCTCAGAGTTTCTCTCTGTCCTCGGGTTTCACATTTCCCTCTGCCCTGGTGCTGATCAATTTAGTTCTTGCTCATCTCTTCTGCCCCATTCCTGCCTAGGTGCCTTCCCAACCCTCCTCTCCTCTACACCAGCCAGAGGCTTTTCTCCTCCTCTTCCCGGGTGCCGGCAGAGGGAGCGCAGGCAGCACGGAGGAGCGCTCTGCCTGCACCCTGCCTGCAGCACCCAGCCCTGCACCCTGAGGTCCATCCTGCCCCGGGGAGCAGCTTGGGGCTGGGCCGGGCAGTCCCGCTGGCAAAGCTCCCTTGTAAAACAGCGTTGATATTTTTAAGGTGGACAAACGGCACATTGTTAACCCTCCTCTCGCATTTTCTTAGAAATAGTTGCGCTATTTTGTTGATACATCTCAAATAAATTCGGTCTAGAGCAGGTATCTGTCAAAGAAAACAGTCCACATGCTCGGTTTGACGAGGTTACAGACAGCTGTAAGGATGGTGTCGACTCGCGTTAGCTACGATTGACAGTACTTGCAGAGCCAATAATTAAGAGCACGGGGCTGTGCACGGGTGGTGGAACCTGGCTTCCTCATGACTAATTGTTCAGCCTGTTGGCTAATTTCGATCTTCTTTCATAGAGAGAGAGAAATATCAAAATTAATTATGTTTTTTCAAATTTAATAAAATTACATCTTGAGGGAACAGAAGAGCTGGCTTTGAAAGCTTGCCTTTAATAACTAGAATGCAAGAGCTGATTTTTAGAGTCCTCGTGGCAAATTGCTTGTTGCTGTCCAGGTACTTGGCTGGAGTAAGGAAGGACAGCTTTGCAGGTGCCTGCAGAGACGGTCAAAGACGAAGGCAGTAACTCAGCCAGCCAGCAAGCGCACACGCTGTAGGAAGCCAGAGTTCCCATGCTTGCAGAATTCCTCATTTTGCACTTGTGGTTTTGTTGTTGTTTATTACCACTGATGAAATACCTCTCTCTCGGATGTCAGGATTGTTCTGTCCTCCTCCACAGGTCTCCTCAAAGACCCTGGCTCAGACGCCTGGGTGAAGATTTTAAGTTCCTTGGACTGCAAATATTCTTTTGAGCCTCAGGCAATTCCCTGCAGCATAACCTGGAGGAGAAACATGCCAAACACTCTGTCCTCACCAGTGAGTCCTTCTCTTCTTCTCCGTACATGTAAACTGGGAAGTGATGTGCTGTAGGGAGAAAGCTTTGACTTGCCTCTCTAGGCTGGGCATTGGAGTCACCAGCCTCAGAAACGCTGATGACTGGTGACCAGTTAGCTTGGGGAATGGATTATTCCAAAGCCAACGTCTTTTAAACATCTCCATCTCACGGGTTTAGGCAGGTGTGCATCTAGGGTGAGGCCAGGGAACCTGTAGCAAGCAAAAAACCATGGCAAGTCATTCACACAGAGATTTTGCCTGGATACTCGGCAGCAGTTCCAGCCCAGATGTTGTGCGTGGCATGCTACCACGGGCAACAGCTGCACGTCAGGAAGAGGCTGGGCAAATTTGCTGCGGGGCCCCTCATTTGGAAAGCCCGCGATTGCTTCCTGAACCCCGCTCAGTGGGAACCTGAAAGGGCAGGCACCTTCTGGTACCAAATTCCGTCCCCATTTCAGTTTGGTTTAGGAAATGTGTCAAGCGGTATCTGCGTGGCAGCGGAGGCTGAGGTAGGTTGTTCTCGTGCTTATCCCCGCTACAGGAATTTCAGGCGGAGGCAGAACTCTATTTTTTGCTGTTGCTGGATAAAACACTGCAGATACTGTGATCATATAATAGAGCACAGATGATGTAGGTGCAGATAATGTGGTCATCTAACAGTGTGCAGTGCAGGCAAAGCCATTTTGTGTCCTTTCGCCTTAGTTAGCAACTTCTGCAGTTGTCACTGCCTTCCTCGCCAGGCTATTTTTGCACCTTCAGTGATCTGCTCGTTCAGGGAGGATTTTACCTTTCCGTTCAGCCGTGGCCTTTCCCCACTGTAGTACTGACGTAGCCTTACGAGTGTCAGTGCCTCTTACAGTGTGGGCTCTGCAGAGGCGGAGACTTGCTGTCTGCTTTAATGCTGGCCCCCAGCTTGTGTTGGAAATGATTTCGTCTTCTTTAGGATGGCCCCATGGTGAAGACTGAAGAGGAGAAGGAGGTGTTGGTGTTGGTAGAACCAGAAGATTTTCTTAAGCGCCTCTTTTCCCTAACCCAGGTGATACAGATCTCTGAGCCAGACCTACACACAGTGCTCTACGGCAGGGTCACTTGGCTAGGTGGACGCAGAAGGGGAGGGTGGGTTCATTCAAAACGGCCCTTGCTCCACCCTGAAACAAAGCTGTGTTACAGAGGGCGGGCGGTTTGAAAGGAGAGAGCTTGTGGGAGAAGCCCTGAGTACAGCAGGAGGTCTGTAGGGATGGGACACAGGCACCCACCTGCCTTTAACCCCGGGAGAGGACGCTGCTTTCCTCAGAGGGGAGCTGGGCAGGCCACACTTGCCTTTCCTAACATTTAGCTTTTCCATTCTCATGGTGTCCATGAAAAATTTGCTTGAAAGAAACGTTTAGAGTACAGAGCCCTTGGAAACGCATGCATCTGGATAACGCGCTCAGTCGTATGCTCTGATTTGGCTGGTCCTGTGTGGAGCCAGGAGTTGGACTCGATGATCCTTATGGGTCCCTTCCAACTCAGGATATTCTATGATTTTGAAGCAGAGAGATTTGCGTTCTCATTTGTGTGCAGTCCTGCAGCGTTCTGTTTATACCTGTTTTGGCAGCCTGTGCTTCTGCCCTGCGAAGTTCCCCGTCCATCCAACCCTGTCCAAGACTAGAGAATGACAGGCTAGAGTAGGCAGTGGCTGGGCTCAGTGCTAATGCTCCAGGGGAAAAAGGTGAGCCAGAAGGAGGAGTGGGACATTGGCAGATGCGGCACATCGTGCCTGCCCAAAGGCAACGCGCTCTACTGCAGTCTGAGGCTGGTTCCTGCCCGTTCCCACCGATGAGATGAACCTTGGAAGGCCCCGCTGTCCTGCCGGAGCTGGGGAGGGGTGTTTTGGAGAGGAAGGCTGCCACAGACTTGGGTGTGATTTGTCTTGCTTCAGAGTTTTGTCAATGGCCCATCAGCGAGTCAGCCTGACCTGAACCAAGTGTTGCCTTTGGCCGGTCTGGCGGGCTCCTCCACCAAAACCTACAGCTTGGCCGTCGTTGGGCTGGATGCCTACAGGCGGTACGTGCCGGGCGAGCGGCGGTGCCAGGGAAGCTCACAGCGGGCGGAGATCAGCGTGTCTGCAGGGGGGACACCTTCGGGGCTGAGCTGCTGACGCTCAGTGCCGGCGTGGTGGCTGTGAATCACAAAGCCCGCGCTCGTGGGGGCCAGGACTTGGGTTTTGCAGTCTTGAGGGTGTACTTTGTGCGTGCGTGTACCGCAGCCTCTGAGGATCTGGCAGCCAGAAGGGGTTCACAGGGCTCTGGAACCCAGGCGGAGGGCCGCAGTGACACGGAGGAGCTGAGGGAACTGCTCTCGCCGAATTGCCCTTCTGTTCCCAGCAGCGTGTGCAGCTCAAAGTAGGGAGATGTTCAATGCCTGGAGCCCTTTTCTTGTCCCCTAATGTCCCATTCGTGTGCTGTTCCCAATGCCTGTGTCCTTCCTGTCCGTGTACGTGCACGGCAGAGGAATCTCCTCTGTGGTGACGGTGTGATCGCTTCCAGAGTTCCCTGCATTACACAGCTACAGTAGCTGGGTCTGTCCTATCCTGTCTGGAGTATTTCCCAGGGAGAGCACTTGTCTCACCACCTCCTGGGCTCTTTCTCACTTAAGCCTGTGAGGATAAATTTTACTGAGAGTGTTATGTTTAAAAAAAAATCAGCCATGGCCTGTTGAGTTCTGCCAGCAGAGGAACCGAGCGGCTCTCACCCTGGGTTCGGGTCTCCTCTCCCTCGCAGGGGAGCCCCCCGCAGCCAGGCAGCAGGCAGCCTGGAGCAAACTCGACACCTTTGTCTCCAGCTTCAAGTCAGATCGGGAGGTAGCAGATGCGGGTGGGTTTAGTTGGGCCTTTTCCTCTTGATCAGACAGTAGCCCTGAGGTGCAAATACGTAGAGTTTGTGTGCAAGCGGCGTGTCTTGTTTACAGGTGTAACCAGGAGCAGGGCAGGCAGCAGGCGCTGAGCCCCGGAAAGCAGCGTCCCAGCTCCCAGCCTGGCCCGGAGCTGTCTATGACTCAGGAGGAGATACTGGAGGTAAAACTTCTTGAATTTTTATGTTCCTTGGGGTTGAGCTGTGCAGAAAAGGCTCCCACCAGTGAGCTCGTGTGTGTAAGGAATGCTTTGCCAGGACGGGTGGTGGCTGGCTTGGATCCGGTTGCATCCACATGCATCCCTCTTCACCCTGGCCAGCACTGGGATCAAAGAGGAACTGCAGCCTTTGAGGCACAGTTTGGAGCCTCTTGTTCTTAAGACCCTGGTTTGGAGCTGATCCAGGCTCCCCTCCCCAGCCCCACCAAGAACTGCCCAGTTAGCTGTGAAAGGAGCTGTTGGTTCTTGCTCAGGTCTCTGCCTTGCAGAGCCCGTGTCCCACAGCAGAGCAGGAATACTTGTGATGCCGCAGCAGTCATAAACTAGGTCAAATACCATCTAAGCCCTTACTTGATATCCCTTGAGCTAAATTCCTGCCCTGCCTGAGTGTGCCCCAAAGAGGGTTATGACTCGCTGGCTTACTGGGAGCTAAGAAGGATGAGCAGGCTTTGCTGCGGCGCTCTGTAAACAGAGCTAATGGAGGCAGCCCAGCCTCCCTCCCCTTCCAGCCCCAGCCCAGCTTCACCCTGCCGAGGGATGTGTCCTACCCGTGTTTTTTCCTTTTCCCCATCTCTTGCTGGGTGCCGTAGGTGACCAGGGCTGACACCAGTGCTACTGGCCGAGGCTCGAGGAGGGGCTGCGAGGGCCCCGGGCTGGCCTGGCTCGCGGCTGGGCCCCCCCCACGCACGCTTGGTTCCCC